CCCCCCTCCGCCAGGGCCGGGGTTCCGCGGGTGGGCGGCGGCGATGTGGTGGCCGAAGAGGGGGACCCCCCGCGGCTTCACCGCGTCGGTGAAGAAGCAGCAGAAGGCCTTGGACGGCGCCCCTGGGACAGGGGGGCTGGGGCTCGAGCTCGGCTTCGGTGGGACCGCCGCGTAGGCGCCGCGTGCGGCGTTGGGGAAGGCCGCCTCGTGCGGCGCGGTGGAATGGATATCGGGTACCTCTTGCTGGATGTACCGAATGACATTCTCTACCACATCCGCGGAGTACGGTGAGGCGGATGGGTTCAAATGCTTTCCTTTCTGAAGGGAACTAGTACTCCCCTCCCCTCCGCCTCCTCCTAAAACACTACTAACCCCCATCATGTCTGTGCTCGTGGTGGATTCTATTGAAAGGGTTGATTTGGAGTTCAACGCCTTAACGGACCTCTTCTTCAGAATCTGCTGGCAAAGAAGAGGATCTTCGTCGCCGGTGAAGGTCGACTTCCCCTCAAAGAACATGGAAATACCGTCAAGCAGGACGAAGAGGTTCGTATTGTTGACATGAATGAACTTGGCGGGACCTACGCCGATGATGCCCCCGTTCGTGCTGTTCGCCTGGGTGGAAGTGCTGCCTAATCCTTTGTTTACTGTGAGACTCATCATAATTTTATTGCCTGGGAGTGGATTATTAGTCAAAATATTCGTAGAATCCGCTTGGGATATTGAGTCAATTCCTCCCATAAACGAAGAGGTATGAAAGGTGCCCTTTTCGTAGGTATAGCTATGATGCATCGTAACCATCGGGGAGAGGGTGGTGTCATCACCGTCAATTAAAAATTTACTCACCTCGTATTCATTTTTTTGCTGGACTTGAACCTCGCCTGAGGAGCCTTCGCCTAAATTTAGAAAAATGTCTTGAGGGGGGGACCTTATTTTTCGTCTCGGCTTCATAAGGTAAATAAAGGATCTAGTTAAAGAGAAATACCAACTTGAGTTTCGCTTATTTATTGGATTTTTTTTTAATATACAACTTTTAGTGGGGATATGATCACGGATAGGTGCAAAGATAAAGTAGAAGGATTCTCTATAAGAATTAGATATTTTCCGAGTTATATAGGGATCCCTTTACGAAATCATGCCCATCCACCTTTAGCCATAGAAATAAAGTGAAAAATTAAAAAAATGAGCAAAAAGTCACAAAGGAGAATACTTAAACCAAAATGTAGAGAAGCTCATTTGAATACCCTACTCATTTGGTTTAATACACACAATAGACAAAATGTGTGTGCTTTCTCCATAAAAGAAAAAAGTTCAGAGGATTTAAAAATACACACCATAAAAGTAGGAAACATAAATCGAATTCTAATTGATGAACAAAGTTAGAAGCCTTACTACTAATCAGTCATCATCCTCTTCTACGATGGACTCCTTTGTGAAGCTAGAGCGCGGATCTAAAGAGGGTGGATTGCGCACTCCGGCAAAAAGTACATGCGGTGGCGGGAGCTGATTTTCAGTTGCAGCTTTTTCAAGACCTACTAAAGGGAATTTTCCGCTTTTTGGCGTTATAAAATCCCCCAAGACGGAAAATTCACGAAGGGTTTGAAGATACCACTCAGCAAACTGGAAATTATCTGATTCTTTGGCACCTAAGATAGAAGAAATCTCCTTACCGCTGGGTGCGCCTAAGCCTAACAATAGGGAAAGACTTTTTGCATTACCAGGGTTCTGAATAGAGCTATCCTGCGAGGAAACGACGTTCAAAGTGGCATCTTCTTTATTTGCACTATAGCCGTCATCGTCATTATCGTTACCATCTGCCAGGGGAAGTGCTCGTTCCGCTTTCGTTTGCGTTTGAACAGCATTGGCGGCACTCTTCTTGGGCTGATCCGGCTCCTGCGGCCGTCCATCCACCTGCTTGACCCATTCCCGATTTCGAGTGATCACATCCAAGACGTTCATCGGATTATCCTCCGGCAACCACATCGAAATAAAGTTCAGCACCTGAGGCGACGTCGTCCGGGTAAGGCTGGTGAAAAGTTCACATTCGTTAAAAATCGAGGATAAGCTCCAGTTTTGAAGTCGGCGTATGCAGCCAACAAGAACGTTCGTCTGGAGTTCACCGGTCGGGCACGCAAAAAGCACGGGATGCCATTGCGGATCCACCGCAATATCGAGCCCCCGTATCACATCCCGCTGGCTGAAATCACACCCGCTATTATACGCATCGTCCCGCCAACTCCGCATATTCGCCAGCCTCAACACGCGAATCTCCCTCGAAGTGGAAGAAAGAGAGGAGTAGGAATTCGTCAGCGTCGCGCTTTTCGTATCGTTCGAGACGGGTGCCTGCAGCCTTGTAATGGAGAGCGAGCTTAAAGGAGAATTAGGGGAGAAGCGGCCCTGCTCCACAAGAAGTTTCGGTGGTTCCTCCAGCGCCTTAAGAACTTTCGCCGGGAGGGCTTCAATGGAGAGGAGAGCAAGCGTCTTAATGCCAATATCACGTAAATACGGCAAATTTGACAGTGTTGGATACGCACTGCGATAGACATCCTTCACCACCATCGCAAAGTTTAACGGAGGAGAATAGAGTGCATTGTTCTGAGCGCCATGATGCATCGTTCAAATAAAGAAACACAAATAAACCAGATTGTCTGAATAACTATAGGCCCAGATCCACCGTTTGAGATAAGTTATCCTTGGTGAACTATTTATGAAACTTCTATAAAGTCTATGAGATGTTAAATCGACTTTATAGGATTCCACTACAGGTTCTTAAATAAGAGCCTTAACGAAATACTTTGGAAGTGAAACGCATTTTATAAATACAATAAGGGAAGAAGATTGAACTAACTACGTATGAACATCTAATCATATTGTACACTTCATCAAGAATAAAAATAGAACCACATTTCTATCAATACTTCATAAATATGAAAGATGAACAAGGTGAATGGCTTTACACTTTTTCTTTAAAAAAAAAATCATTTCCTTCTTATTTCATCATATTCTTTTCTTACCATTATAATATTTACCCTTAGTCTAAAAAATTAACATAATAATGCAGAACATGTACTTATCGTTATTACCATACTTTCCAAAGGAACACTGCACCGTTTGGTATTCGCAGAATAGGAGTTTCAACAGAAGGCCTGAAAGAACAATCATTTCCTTAAACCTCATAAAAATGCACAAAACATATAACATAAGAGTAAAGTGGCACGCTACTTCATCCTTTTCCAGAGCCTCACCTCCCTATCTCAAAAGATTTTTCGAATCACTGCAATGTGCCGAGAAGAAAGACTCCCCCTCAGACAATAATTAAAACAATGAAAAAGAAGCGTTATGATACTCTTTATCTCCTTCATAAAGTTCACGTGAATTTTCTTGGATTCTGGCTACTTTACCAACTCTAGTTCTGCTCCTCCGGCTTCGTTAAGATAACGTCATCTATCTTCAATATCATCTTCACGACCTGCATTGCCAGGCGAAGCTGAGAGCACTTACCGTGGAGGGTTTCAAACACCTTTTGCTGTCTCATATCAATCGTTCCGTTATCCATGCAATCGATACCGGCGAAGGGGTTATTCCCCTCCACATGCGCCTTGCGAGCGGCGGAGAGGGCGATAATGGCATCGAGGCCGCTGTTCAGTGCTAAGTTGATCGGAATCGTCTCCAAGGCGTCGGCGAAGGCGCGAATGGCGTGCTGCTCCACCGTTGGGGTTTCATCCGCATGGCGAAGCACCGCCAATGACGCCGCGATCTCCGCCGAACCGCCGCCATATACAATCCGGTTATCACGAATTAGATTACGCACCATGCAAATGGCGTCATGAAGGGAACGTTTGGCCTCCTCAATCATCATCCGATTGCTGGAGCGGATAAAGATGCTTACCGCCTTGCTATTCGGGCAATTCTCGATGAAAATCATACGATCTTTTGTGGTGCCGAACCCCACCTCTCGCACCGTTCCGCAGGTACCGAGCTTCTCCGTGGTAAGGTCCTCAAAACGAGGGACGATTCGCCCGCCAGTAGCGATCGCAATGAGCTCTAACTCAACGCCACCCACCCAACGAACTGCAGGGAGTTGGTTATAATAAAGTAAATAATTCGCCTCGTCGTCAAACCCCCACTGGCAAATCACCAAATCGGCTCCAGCGTCTTTGCACCGCTTGATCTCATCGCGAAAGTAGGCCTGCTCCTGCTCGTGGAGTTCCTGCATGTGCTCGGCGTTCTTAATCTGCAGAGTGTGCTTCGTTTTCGGTTTAGGGGGCTCAAAGGGGCATGTGAGAATCGCAATTTTCGGGGTTTTCAGTTCTTTAGGCATCTGCGGATGGGAAAAGTCTTTGTCAATGATGATACCGTTCACGAGGCAGGTGTCCTCCAGGCGTCCGCCAACTTTGCCCTCAACCTTGATAAGATCCATATTTACATCACGACGCTCTAAATCCGCCACCGACAGCACCGCATCCACGCAGATCTTCGCCAGGTGATCGCGAACACGATTCACCACCTTCGAGTTGAGCGTCGAGCGGGCGGTTTGGATGAGGTATTCCCTTCCGTCAATAGGAATTGTCTCCGCAATCTCCTCTAGCCTCTTGCAGGCGATCTCGCAGGCCTTCTCGAACCCATCCGAGATGCGGGAGCTGTGGATGCCCTTATCCAATAGCTCCGAGGCCTGCTCCAGGAGGGCTCCCGCAATGCAGACCACCCCGGTCGTCCCGTCGCCGATTTCGAAATCCTGGGATTTGCTCAGCTCCACGACCAGCTGTCCGATCTCGTTGTCGATGTCCATTAAGTCGAGGATGGTGGCCCCGTCGTTGGTCACGACCACGTCGTTGTCGGGGGTGGTCAAAATTTTGTCCATCCCGCGAGGTCCGAGGCTGGTGCGCAAGACGTTGGCCACCCCGAGCGCGGCGAGGATGTTGACCTTCTGCGCCTCCACCCCGGTCACCCGTTCCTTCTGGGCCTGCTCCTTCAGAAGAAGGAAGGGACGGCCGAACTCGTCAAAGGCCAATGACATCTTTTAGAAATTGCTTCGGTTACGGGTTAATACGTTTGCGTAGATCGCGAGTTAGTTCCTTTCGCTATGAATAGGAAGTAACAGTAAAAATAATAATGTAAAGTGTAGTAAATTCGTTACGGTATCAGCTTTTTTTTTCTCTCTTACACACCAATACAAAAGGATAGAAAATAGAAAAAAGGAAGAGCCAAAAGGAATATAGACACAATTAAAGGGTTCGAATCACGAAGGACACCAATCCGATCCATCGCATTGTAGAACGACTTGTGGATTAAGATAGACGGTCTCTGTGTAATGAGATCCATACCAAGATTCCAGTACTTTATTTCGAAATCTGAATCATTCGTTACACTGCCTAAAATCAGCCCCTTCCTTTACTACTCATGGATTTTCACATTATAATTCTTTTGGGGGGTTCCGCTTTCTGTTAAGGATTTTAAAACCCCAAACTTTTTGTGTTTGCACAGCTTTATCACCCCTTTCGAAAAGCTAATAGGATATTGAAACCGAAGGCCATTGTTTCTGCACTTCTGCAAATCAACAAAATGAGCTTACCTAATATGATACCCCCTTAAGCAAAAAGCGTGAAATGATACCGTAAAGTCAACAAGAAAGGAAGTGTCATAGACAAATGCATTGACGGATCACTCAGTATAAACACACTCTCTACCTGAATCAACATTCAGCGTCTGATCATAACGTCAGGAAAAGAACTTCTAGCTCTATCCAGTTGTGAGAATAAAGTCACGATGAAAAATCCTGTCATCAATAGAAAAAGGATCTGGTAATATGGAGCATCTGGAAATACTCCTGTGCGTAGGGTTATTAAGTCGATCGCAAGAATCAAGCAAATTACCATAGCAGTCAACCTGTACAATTTAATCAGCAGTACGAGAAAGCAAAAGATCGTCATCGTATCGAAAGACACCTGCGTAATTAATGCAGCCTTGATGAAAAAAAATAACGCCCTAGGCGATTTACGATTCTTTTCTTGTATGCATCCTTCCCTCCAAGAAAGTTGTTAGGAGGTGGCAATATTTCACCTGAGGCGATTTTGTTTGTGGAGGCATATCGCCGCCCGAGGGGGGGAGGGATACATACTAATATTACGAATAGGGTCTGCCGTGGTCACCGTTAGCAGTGAAAAAATCCTACAAATCCCCCTCTCAAAACCACATTGCAACCGCAGGGAACTACAATATTAAAGGGGATTTTGTAAACGTGAAATCATCCGGCCACCGGGGTAGATGATTTTTCGGTTAAGTAGACCTTTATAGATGTAAAAAATAGTCGTCAAGACATCTGCGGTAGAGGGATCATCCTCATGGATTAAAGAAGTGGGATCCGTTTCATATCAAATGACTTCTTAATGTATTAGCAACTTTATTCATACCAACCTTTCGGTATTCCCATCAATAAGGTTGTTGTTGTTTTGTTAACAAGAAAAGAGGCGGATGTACTTCTTGAGAAATGACCCATTTTCTGTTTAATATAGAATATTAACCTATATTTTTCAATAGATCTATATTCAATACAGGGAAAAAAAGAAGTCTTGATTAACTACATAGAATACTCCATATTTTATGAAAAGCGAAAGTGCAAGTTATTTACTTCAACCCACTTTTAAGGTTATTTAAAAATTCCCTCATATAGTCAAAATAAATCTTAAATAAATAAATAACATTACGTAGTATATTATATAGTAAAAGCATGCAAAAAAGAACGCAGATATATATTACTCTTTATCCCACTAGTCAAGTAAAGTATAATTTTGTGAAAATGGATCAAAATATTCATCTCGCACCACGTCTTCAGATGGTAAAGTAAGACTTTTTTGAAGTAGGAAGCTTCTCTTTTGAATTTACACTCTGTAATGCAAAATAATGATAATATTTATATGCATGAAACCTGGCTCTAGGATTGACATAAATCATACAATCTGATGTTTCATTTACTTTAATTATTGTCATGTTTTTACATACACACACACTTAACCTTCCAAAGAATCCAAAAACATGGAATGCTTTCGTAAAAAGAAAAGCACCAATGCATAACCAATTCCTCTCTCTTTTTGTACTCATTCTTCATCGGATACATCTTCCTTATCTCCCTTTCTTTCTCTAAAAACACAATAGTTCTAAAGGTTATCGAACCATTTTCATTTGATACTCACTTCATTTGTTTTTCATATTTTCTATATATGACAGGCCTATTTCTATGGAAACATGACTTTTAGCTGTGCGGACGCGGCACCAATATCGTTATTTAAGTTCGAAAGAACATCATGAATAATTCCCATATCTGCTTTTGGGAATTCTCTTTTAAGTACATCTTCTGGAGAAAGTCTCTTGGGTATAGATGGAGCAATTTCATGAGGGAGATTTGGTCCGGTGGAATGGCCAGGCATTTTCGAATTCGAAGAAAAGGCAGACGTACTCTGGGTTGTGGTGAGCTGTGGTTGAATCTTTTGATACACAAAACGAGCAAAGAACTGTTCACGACCGAGATCGGTAATGAGCTTGACGTACTCCTCACAAGAAAGCTTCTCGGACTTCAGAGCATCATCCAGTAAACCCATCATATCGTCCAGAGCGAGGCTATCCACTACAAGTTCTAATGCTTTCGCCTGCAGTGTATCGCCTGCGATCAAGGAGTTGGCGTGCTCCTCGATCGTATCCTCACGGCCTTTGAGTTGCTGGATGAGAGTTCGAACATTCCCAACGTTAGGTAAATACTCTGAGAGCATCTGTTTATGGTTTAAAAGATCCGCCTTTGCTTTTTCCAACCTCTCATTTTGCGCGCGAAGTGTCTTCAAGTACTGGATAGATTGCTTGCGCGTATTAATATACTGGGATGCCTTTTGGTTGATGTCTATGAGGACCTTTTCAGCAATATCCTCGAGACGCTTCTCGTTTTGGATACCAGTAAAAGACTCTGGGGTTTTGTTGTTGGGTGCTAATGGAGCAAAGGGATGAGTGTCTGGAAAATTAGACGCACCTGGAACTGGAATATACTCATAAGGGAAATTGCGTTCGAACTGACGACTAAGCACGATAAGAATCGATCGAATAGAATACGGGTGCCTCTCCAATGAGAGCAATTGGGCCGCGTTCAACTGAATTCGACCATTACGATCTAGCAAAGGGTTTGGGTATTTAACGTACATTTTAGAAGGATCCGGTACCCTTAGGTAAGCCTCAACATCATTCCGAGGGAATTCCTTGCTGTAGACGATGGCAACAACGAACATCGCGCGGTTGGGATTATGGGCGCGTAGATAAACATTCCACACCACCTCTAACTTTGGATCATGGCCGCTTGGAGAAATTCGAGCAAAATATAAGGGAAATTCGCCTTTAAAGGGTAAAAAGTCATTCAAGTGTCTTGAAATGGCCGCAGCAGTTTGGGTGTGGAATATATTCGCTAACACGGAATAATTTGTGGCTTGTTCAAATGACAGCGTCTGCCATGATGACATATCCTTGTTTTGAAGCAAATTACACAAACTAAACTTTCCAAGTACCTTTCAATTTTAATACGAGCGGAGAATAAATTAGCGTAGGTGGTGATATACTATTTTAACTATTTTTCACTAAAAAATTTTAATATCTAAAAAAAGACTTTGAAAAAAGATTTCATTATCAGTTTTAATAGAGTAATCACTAAGACTTTGTCATCGAAGCTTGATATTTTTGGGAAAATTAAATGTATGTTCTATGTATAAAACAGTTACACATACATTTGAATGTAACTAAATGATCCAATGATTATTTTTTTTAAATGTGTATGAGCCGTTTTATCCTAGATATCGAAGTAAAGGTATACATCAGTGAAGGCAATAAATGCACTTGTAGTACTATACGAATGTCATAGGATCTAAACAAATTATTTTAACCTTGTTAAATTCATAAAATGTATAATGTGAATATCCCAATAATTGAAGCAGTGGTTGCCATATAACCCAAAAAAAAAGTAGAACAAACATAAAGGATACAGAACAATGAACAAGTAAAAGGGCCTAAAGGTAAATATTAAGCATTTCATTACAAATGAGGAAATCGGTAAAATGAATTAAAAGAATTTAAGATTCTCCCATTATAAATTCATCATCTGATAAAAATAATCCAAACAGTTTTTACTTGATTTAAGTTTTTTTTTGAGATTCAATTGTATTAATTTGTAATTAAGGTAATTGTTTTGTTAAAATGTAATTATTGGATTATATGTATACATACACTTATAGATTTATTCTGGCTTTAGACTTTTATAAGACACCTTCTCCACTTTGTGAAACAGCATATCGAATTACTACTTCTCACGTTTAGTTTACCAAGAGAGAAACAGGTGCTGTGAAACCATGGTGATAGATGTATGCTTATTTTTCTGATGTATTTTTTCTTTGAATTATATTTTTGACCATTTTTACAATATAACCTGTATAACGTATTTCAATTACTAACGTAAAACAATGAATAAAAATACTTTAAAATTGTCCAATTCTAAAGTATAATTAGCCCCAAATTGAAAATAAAAGGTATCCAGATATTTCCGTTTATAGATCGCTAATTTTAAATAATGATGAACATTATTGATAAAATGAGATCAACGGAAAAGAATAGCAAGAAGGGACGACAAGAAGAAAAAGTAATGAAGAGTTAGCATATAGGTAAAATTACATCTCCCTCCTCCTCCTTCCTTCATCCCCTCCCCTACTCCCTCCTCCCCAAAAATACGATTAACCTAAAACACATTAGTCAATGCCCAAAATCTGAGCACTATCAGTTTTCAGTTATGAATGCAAAGGAATTATGAATTATATTTTAATATTCCTTCACGAATTCCATCTGTTCTGGGATTTATTCAATATTGTATGTATTATCACTAACAAGTAAACTGTTGACAAGATAAAAAATGTTTCTATTAAATTTGAGATGCTTAAAATGAAGTACACAAAAAGCGAAGAAAGCAATATGAAAAACCTAAGTATAAAATAATAAACTTACAGTTTGTTTTGAAATTATTAGGGTCATGGGATGACATTAAAAGAAAGAGGAGAAACTGTAGTAGAAAAAAAAAGCCCAAACTTCATAAGATTATAGATTGTTAATTCACTAAGTAAGCTTGGTTGATTACTTAAAAAAAAAAGGATGCTGATAGATAGGTATAAAATAAAATTCCATAGAAAGTACTCGGTGTCATTGTTTTCTTTTTTATTTGAAGTTCCATGACGCAAACAGAAATATAATTATTGATATCATTAGGATTATTTCTTATTTACTCCGCCTGACATAGAGCCAGTATATAAAAGAACGTCACCACCTTTAGCAACAAAAACATTAGATGGCTACCAATTTGTAGTGAAAAAAATTCATGTTCTGTAGAAGATGAGGGTGGAAGCCCCACATGAGAAACCCTAGCATCCGTAAAAAGAAGTATACTAACGTTAAGGGTTGTGGTTAGGTGGTGAGTGAGAGAGCCCCCCCCCGTTCCTTGGAAGGGCGAGGCGCTACTTCTGGGAAGGCGGCGCGGCTAGGGGCTCCTCGTGGGAGGGGTCGTTCTCGAAGGACGGGGGCCGTGCCATGAGGCTGTTGACAGGGAGCCAGCACATGACGTTACTGTTGTCGCGGAGGTAGACGTAACGGGTGTCGAGGGTCGGGAAAGGGGGGGG